AGGTTATGCTCTTGCTGTGTTCCGGTGGTGCCAACGAGTGTGAGACGTGCCAACCAACTCAGTGGGAGGATCCTTGTCCTCCACCAGCACTTATGTACTGTCTCCAGCTCGATGGAGTGCCAGGAGTCCGATGTGCTAGTCGACCATCTGGCACATGTCGGGCTTGTGGTTCAGCAGCACCTCCTCGCTTTAGCAGCTCTCACCCGACAAACATGTCGAGTATCTGGTGCTTGCGGTATCGCACATTGAGCATGACGATTAGTCCCTAGTGCAGCGACTGCATGAAATAGGTGGTTGTGGTTGGCAGGAACACAATGTGCACATTGCTCAGCGCCCACATCAGAAATCCCATGATGTTAGCGAGCGTAGAGAGGAGCTGGTGGCAGCTCGCATTGTCCATCAGCACGACGATTACCCTTCATTCGGCATAACAGGCAGCATTCACCTTCTCGAAAGACCACGTGAAAATCTGCAATGGCGGAAAGAAAGGAATGCATGCGAAAGTTCTTTAAGAAACGCATCTGCCAGTCGCGGAAGCGGGGTACAAAACATAAATTGGGGGACGGGCGGTGGAATATCAGATATGGTGTCGGTTGTATGATGTTACCCCGCTCGTCATCCAACCGGAGCCATTGTCGCGCCAGACGCAATCGCGGTTCGGGTCGTACTTATTGCGAGAGAAGCACCGCGGGTTTGTTGCCTTGTCGACGATAGGCGGCTTCCATATCCTCGAGCTGTCTGCATTGCACATCACCATGACCGCCACACTCCTTCTTCATCTTCCCTCCCCCCTGTGGGCATCGCTGAAGGTGTGCTAAGGAATCTGCGCCCAAACGCTGCCGGTTACATCGTAATTGAAGTAGTCGCAGACGCCGCGCAAAGGAGCACGAGTAGCTGCAGGCATGTCATTTTTGTTGTCAATACAACGCCCAGGTGGACATGCCATTTATAACCCATGCGCTTGAATGCCTTCTGAACCCAACCGACGTTCACCTTGTACTCCTTGGGCATGCCTTGCGTCGGGTGCCATAATCAGCGCCTGTTGCTGAATGATGGCGATCGTGATGGGCATGCCGCCCTTCGCGGCGCAGCCCAGCCATGACTTCAGGCTTTGTTCCAGCAACGTGTAGAAGGCAGTGCGGTGGTGCCTGTTGGCGGAGCTTTCGGGGCCAAGCGTCTTCCATTTGCATGCCTCCAAAAAATTTCCCATGGTGTTGGGTTCAGTGTAGACACCGTATCTAGAGAACGCTGACTTAGCTAAGTCCGCCAGACGGAGGTGGTTGTGTACGGCTGCGTGCTTGCATATTCCGAACGTCATGGAAATCGCCAGCGAGGTTCTGTTAACTAACCTCATCTTGGCAGGTGTCGGAGGTGACACTTGAGTGCAGCTGTGTATGCGGAGTCCAGGTTTTCCTGTAAATAGGCCCCGCTTTGGAATCCACACCGGCAGGAATACAAGCTCGCTTGTCCCAACGGCCCAACTAAGAGACTGACATCTGGACAGGGGTACGAGTGTGGAATTGGTATCACGGGCTCGGTGTGCTCGTTGGCAGCCTGATTTCGCTTAAAGCCCGACCGGCAGGTTGCAAGTCCTCTTTTCTCAAGATGCTGCACCTTGAGGCCCTCGTAACCGAGCAGGTGGGATCAAACTGCCAAATGCTCGCGAAGGATTTCCAACTAGGCAGGGCCGGGGGCCTCTCGGAACTTGGCAGTGCAAACCTGCCGAGTTCTTCCAGGAAAAAGATGGGACGGGTTGGGTGAGGGGTAGAAACCTGAATTTGTACTTCGCAGAGTGCGCAGGAATCACGAAAAAAAATAAAAAAAATTGATTCGAATTTTTAGGGTCGCATAGTAGGATATTGTATATGCATCAAACAACATCCGGTTTGTTTTTTCGAACCGGTCAGGTCAAAGGGTTGGTTGTGATCGAAACAGTCAACCAGTTCTCGCCCTGCAAACTTGGCAGAGCTGGCGAGGTGGCTATCTGCTAGATTGTGAGCTGCAAAACTGGCAGCCCTGCCAAGTTTCCATCCCCGCTAGCTCGCGGGAAACAAACGTTGACTCTGTAAAGCTTAGTCTTCGCCAAGTATTTCGTTTCCAGAAACCTTCGTCGTCCAATCAGGTTCTGCCGCCCCAACTACCTAAACAGTACAAATATGCAACTTGCATGGCGGGCTTTAATCTCGCTGGCTGTATCACATTTGTTAGTTTCATCTAAATAGAATTCGGCACGATGTTATGTGCCCACTCAATTGCATTGGTTGGTAATCGTCACTTCTTGCAATCGATCGCAATTCCGTTGGGTTTCTGCGCAAGTCGGTGGATGGTTGCCCCAACCCTGATCAGTGCCACATGGATTCACCATGAGCCCAACGACCTTGTAACTTACTTTTACACTGAACGCCTGGAGTACATTGTGATGGCCTATATATCATAACGGACCTTGGAATAGTATATGGAGTACACCACACGGCCTCAGGGCGTGCGTAATTTTCACCAAACATTCACCGAACTGTAACTCGTCAAATTATGTATAAAATGTAGATCACAACATCATACCGCTTTTAAAACCACAGGCTAGAATAGCACACCAGCGGAGCTCTTGAAAAAATGTTTCGTTTTGGGGCAGACCCTTTGGTGCGTTTTCTATTTCTGAAATGGTATGGGACCCGAAATTGTTTGTAATGCGAAGTACCTTTGCTACGTTATTGGTGCGCGACGATTGATTTGGCGCCAGTTGCTCGGCGGATCAAGTTGCGACTGACCGCTCACACGGCTCAGTTTTTTCAAGAGCTCCATGGGTGTGCTAAAGGTTTTTAACCCGAGGTTTACCTGGGTCGCATTTCGCACAACCCATGTGGCTGTTCGGCACACAAGTAGCACAGTTCACCTCCACCCTAGTCGCGAGTCGCGGTCGAGGGAGCTTCGTAATGTGAAGCCTTAAAACGTACGCCGAATACTTCCGAGGTACAGTAGGTTTTTTTTCGTTTCACCAAGTTGGCAAAAAGTCAAATGAGTCGCGCGCGCGTTTCCCGCCTCGTCGCACACGCGTCAAATCGGCGCCACTACGTTTCTATTATTGTTCAGCTGCCAAAAAACGCACCTCGCAAAATAGTGCTGGGAACCCATTTTTTTTTTTTTTTTTTTTTTTCAAAAGAGCCATCTTCAAGAACGGCGCTCTTGAAGCCCCCCCTTTGCTATTTTAGCCTGCGATTTTAACCTCTCTGAAAGGTTGACCATGAATCGTGTTCTAAGAAAATGTAATGTGCACTAATTGGGCATACCCGCTGTACGAGGTTTGTGCTTCGATCTTTGGTGAAAATAGGCGGTGAAACCATTGGGCCAATCAGGGAGGTGGTGAGTGAAATTTTCACAAGGGGCCCGACTGGACAGCATGTACAAACGAAGCTCGTCAGAGTCGCACAAGATTTTAGGTCAAGTATTTCGCATTCCCTCGCCACGGGCAAATGAGGCTTTCGCACGAGCACATGGCGAAATGGGTGGGTATTTGTGGGGGGGGGCTTGTGTGGCGATGTTTGTTGCCAGTGTGCGACTCTTGTGAAGCGATCAGGCGGCGGCGGTGCACAGTTCCGTGGCGACGAAACCTCGTCCGCAACGACTTGTCCCTTTCTATATGTTGGTCGTATATCAGGGGTTTTGGGAACGGATTCTGATTGGGCGCCAGGTTGAGCTGCGATAAGGTTGGGCATCGACTGTACAGTACATAAATGCGATACTGTACGGCAGATCCAACGCAATTGAAGGAGAATCGTGGAGTTCACAAGCACAACTTTTACGAAGTCTAACGAGAAGCAGTGCAGGTTAGTAACCAATCCACCGTGCTTCGTGAATTCCGCCACACCACCACAAGATTCGTTGCCTGCAGGTCCCCGCCAGCGCAGCAAAGTTGGGATCGCCAACAAGGAGAGAGCACGTGAAGCGAACCACATCGCCGAAGCGCAATTGTCGCTGAATTCATTTTCAAATCGGCTCTCTGCTTCCATTCCATTCTCGCCCCTCCCCTCTGCTCCTCCATCCACCTCTCCCCCCCTCTCCCCTCCTGCTTCCATCCTCGCCCCTCCCTACTGTACTCCCTCCTCCCCCTTTCCTACCTCGACCTTAGCGCGCCCCACTGCTGATTCAAAATGACATATCAAGCCAGAGATACACCCTAAACCTCGTTTGTTTCAAATCACGTAGCATCAAAAGCGGATACAGTCATTGCCCAGATCGGCTTCTTATCACATTGTGAAATGGATTTTCACATTGCTCTGGACCAAATATGGCTTGGTGTGGGAAAAACCACAGGCGAGAGAACGGGTTGAGTCAACCCCTTTGAACTGTCCAGGGTCTCCAAACGAACTTCAACACATCCCACAGCGTCACCTGAACATCTGTGAGTTCTCGAAGGAAACAGGGAACTAGTCACCTGCTCACGATTGTACAGGAACAACATTCGGTTCACTGCGCGGGTCTTTTTGCTGTTGCGACCCTTCCAGTGTTTTAAATCTCCTTACCGGTTAACCCTCTCAGTGGGGCCAAACACTCGTCACTCCAGAGTACACCTCTACTGCTTCGGGCGCTCGGGAAATACCCCCGACGGTCGGTTCCGCGCTCTGCACGTACAGTCACATTCCGCTAAAAACAAACGCAGCCGTCCTGACATACACGCTTGATTTTAACGAGGTTTAGGGTGTACGATGAAACGCGATCAGAGACTGGAAAACAAATACGTTTAGGGTGTACGTTGGACAAAAAATCCCTTGCCCGGCTTACCACCATTGCGAGGCCCCACCAGAAGCAATCTAGCCTGCTGCACAAATCCCCGATACGAACAAAACCTCCTAAGCCAGATTCTGCTGGCCCACCACCCACTCTCCCACCCCACGCAGCTAAAAGAGACCACATTGAGTAGAGACGGGGGGCAGTGCACCCTCGTCCGTCCTCCTCCCAGGGCAATCAGTGGGCCTCTGCGTTAGCTGAGCCGTGAGCTGAGAGCCACCACCAGCTCAGTATAAATGCTCGGCTAGAACTGCGCTCGCTCATTCATTCATTCGACACGCAGTAGCACCCTCCAACCTCATCATCTACCCGTCTCGTAGCTCATCCCCTCGTCTCGTCTCAAATTGTCCACTTGCCCACTTATTCTCCCTGATAGCTTATAGAATGAGCATTTTCCACTCAGCGGTTTCATCCGACGCGAATCTCTCAAGCTCCCCCTATCCTTCTCCCTGGAGCCCGACGCCTGCAGACATCACCCTAATCCTCTCCCTAGAAGTCGCCATCATGGAAAGCAGCAGTAGCGAAGGTCACAGCCGCCGTAGTAATAGCGGCGAGGCCGCGACTACAACTAATAGCAGTCACGCGGGAGCCGCGCGCGTGACTGGAGCGGCAGACGCGACGGGCGATGAGGTAGTCGTGTCAGAAATTCAAGCGGAGTGTCTTCAAGCCCTTGCGACTCGATCCTCGTCAGCTGAGTTCCTCAGCTTCAGTTCCGCCGGCGGCGAAGGTGGCCGCCGTGCGACGGGCAACGGCCTCGACTCGGAGTCGCCCGGCGACTCGACGGCGAGAGTGTCGACTGGCGACACTTCGGCGCCCGAAGTGTCGCACGCCCCGTTTGTCGGCCGTCACGCGATTCGCATGGCTCCTCGCAGCTTGTGGGCGAAGAACATGCTGTACGATTACCATGAAGCGACTGGCGACGATCCGCGAAAGGTCACGCGACGGACGATGGAGCAGCAGAGTCGGCGACGACGCAGTCACAGCGGCGCAACGGCAGCAGAAAGGGCTCCAGCGACCCGGAAAAACAGTTCCGCGGGTGAATCGCCGCTTAATAGACGCACTCCTGCCGCCATAACTTCCACTGTAAGTACGAGGCCGCACGGCGTCAGCTGGCTCGGAAAACGAAAGCCATCCGACGAAGTAACGCGCGTGCGGCCACCTGTTGCTGCTCTGGCGGCCGCACCTGCCGCGGCGTCACCGGCGGGCAGCAGACGTCGTAACGGCCCGTCGTTACCGGGTGACGCGTACGATGACGTGATGGCGATGGCGAACAGTCAGGCTGATTTCGTTATGATTGACGACGGGGAAAACGGATCGTCAGAACCAATCGTCCCGACAAGAGCCGAAGTACGGCTGTCAGCGAAGCACGGCTCCGAAGCTGCTCTGAAGGTCGAAGACGCCGTCCCCACTTTTGGCGCGCTTTGGGAGCAGTGGAGTGCGCGCCACGAGAAGAAACGGCGGACGGGAATTGAGACTGGTAGCAGCAGTGACTCGTTAGTGCAATCGCTGGTGGACGGAGATTGCGCGGCAATGCTCGTGGGTGGTGGGGCTGTGAGACCGAGAAATTGGAATGGGTGCAGCGATGTAGCTTTACCAGCAGTTGTTGCCACAAGTGTACTTCCTAGGTCATCTAACGAGGCCCTCAATGTCGGGTCAGGAGGTGACTGTGTGAAGCTGTTCGGGTCTTGGATTGTGAGGGCCTAGCAGGCCATGGTGGGCACACTTCTGCTCTGCATACTGTAGCATACAGAACAGCCCTGAATAAAAGCAAGCCACCTCAAAGACACGGAAACTGGCGAAGGCAGATTCAGCGAAGTGCAGGATGACATGGAGAAATAAGCTGGTGGGATTGTTCAACAGAGCTGTAGTTCATGTCAATGTCTCAGGATTTGGTTCTTGATTTGACTCCCTCCCACCACCACTACAATGTCAGCACTTGGTTTGTGAAAGCTGTTGAAGAATTTATACTTTCCCCATTACCAGCCTTGCATGCGAGGAGGGATGGTAAGGTAAGGGACTGTGTGTGTGTGTGTATTGGGGTGGATGGAGGTCTTTCGGGATTAGAGTTGAGTTTCTGCTGGACAATGGAAAGAGAGAGCAAGAGAGAGGAGGCAAAAACGAGGAAGATGGATGCTGAAACCCAAAAAACGAGCCCGTAAAACGATTTATGTGGCAGACGGCGATTATTTTCCCGAGGCGGTGGCCGTTCCTTCATGCTTAACAACATCACGAGCAAGGGTCTCACGGAATTGACGTTGCCTCGCAGCAAACGCGTTACAGCACTGCTTGCATACAGTCTCCAGGAGCAACGTCAGGAGCGACGCCAAGAGCGACGCCAAGAGCTGATGTGAGCAGGTGCCGTAATGCCGTAATGCTGAAAGCTCGAGAGAGTAAGGAGGGAGGGACTCTTGTGAAGGGACGAATAGCTATTCGCGGCTAGCAAGTGTGGTAGTGATCTGGGCTACGATAATATGGCACACCTGATACGTGTGTAATGAAATCCTCAGATTCAATGCACACAAATGGAGATGATGCGAATGTCCTATTCGGAGCTCATTCGATGTTGTTCGCAATGGATGTGGCGTGAATGAGAAAATGAAATATATGACGTGTCACGTCCATGACGTGGCATTTGCTTGACATGCACTGCCTAAGATTCATTGGCTTGATGCCTGCAGAATCAACGGACTAAGAAATCCAAGGCGGATCTCAGATCTGAAGAAAGGCAGCTGGAAATGAAGCCACAATGCAAGGTGGGCAAGACCACATCCCCAAGCCGGCTGAGTGCATTCCACCACGACTTAGGGCGTGGAGCCTACGGTTGCGGTTTCACTTTGGGTTGCGCAACCTGGCATGGTTACAGTTGTCGTGGATATCGTCAAGGGATTTTTGCGAAAATGGACACGGGTTGCGGAACCCATGTCCAGCCCGGTTTCAAAACCCACTTCCGCAACCCAATCCGAAACCCACGTCCGCGCGAACCAAAGAAGCCACCACTTGGTCGAAATCCAATTCTAGGTCCGACGAACGCACATGCCTTTCGAAAATCCAATCCTTTTCGCCGTTGCGAACTGGGCGAAATGCTCCTCAGTTTCCTATTTCTCATGTTTGTTCAATTTGCGAAATTTGAAACAAACGCAGCCCAATGTTCCAGGTGTGTTTGGGTTTCCCGCTGGGTTGCGCAATCCCATGTTCCAGTTGCGTTGCGGGGTCACGGTTTGTGGGTTGCGCAACTGGCAGCGCAACTCACAGATGCGCAAACCTAGGATACACGCCTTCAGAGTCGTTCAGCGCAAAGGACCCTTTTTTAAAAGGGGAATAATACGCTGGATAACTCTTACTTTTCGTTTCCCCGATTCAGTCACTCTTTTCTCATGCCAGTCAATGTTTTATCGAGTCGAAATCAGCAGCGTCAAACTTTTTGTTCAGTTAGATGCCGCATGGCAAAATCTTTCGACACGGGGCGGGTGTACAGTGTGCGGGTTTGGGGTTGGGGGGATGCAGGAAAGAGGATGGGAGAGGTAAAATCTGAAAGTTGTGGAACAAGACAGGGCGGAAAAGGTGAATGAAGCTAATCTTGGGAGAAACAGGTGGCAGTGATGCCTTGGCGGATGTGCAATTCCTAGGGCCAGTTCCAGTTCAAAACAAGCCCTTGAAATACTCGGCTTGTGTGGGCAAAACCCCTCACAACACCGTACCCCGTATTTCGTGCAGGGCGAGGGTAGGGTGGGGGGCGTGAAAAAAGAACAACTCTGGGCAGGGTGTACACCGAAAAAGTGCTGACTGAACTGGTGGTGTGGTGACATGTCTCAACGAAGCAGAGCCTGGAGGAGTCCGGGAGGGATACAGTACACCTTTATTCCAGTAAACTGCTCATTCATTAGACGTTACGTGTCTATCTACAGGCCTATTGGCTCGAACACACGGAAAATGGTCCAGCCCACAGAGGCCCACTAATCTCCAACAGTTACCACATCTGATACAGAGACCTCCAAACGTGCAGACGGGACGTTCTGAGGCCTCACACTGTTGCCCGAGGAACGCAAAAGAAACAACAATGGTCACCCGCTTTAGACTGGAAAAGGCCAATTAGGTAACCAGACTACCCTATATTGGCCCTTTCGTCCAGGAAAAAATTGCGCTCGATTCTGAATTACCCGCATGAAAAAACAACTGGGCTTGAAAAGGACTTCATGTGTATGATGAATGTGCCACGGAGTGAGAAACACGGCGAGGGTCTGCTTTTCCATTCGTCATTTTGTGGTGCAGTTTGCAAGCATTCTTTTTTCTCACTCGGGCGGGAATGCTCAAGTGCCAGCATTCCTCATCGCCATCTGGTTTCTAAACCTCCTTATCTCTTGCCCTGACCCTAAATTGAAAGGGAAAGAATTCAGGAACCAGGACACGACGAGGTATGCTGCTCTTATCTAGGTACAGAACATTGACTGTCAGTTTCGTTTGAAGGGCTTTAGCGAAGACACAGTCACCGCCATTTCCTGCTGGCAAGTCGCTCACGTACCATATCAGACCACGTGCTGACATGATACGTACGATCCTCTCAACCTCCGCCTAGACCTCAGAATCGAATCCCTCCTCACCCCCCAAGTCCCCGTGCTCCCGCTTTGTCTCCCCTTCCCCCCGCCCTCCTCTCTTCCTTCCCTCCCCTCCCTTCGAGAAACGAGTCCGTTCGCCCCTACCCTTTGGAAGGGTTTCTGCCGTGAGGCCTCTCGGATCGGAGTCGCCATCATGCGCAAGTTTCCGCCGTGGGGCGCACGGCCACGCTGCGCACGCGAGCCTGAGGGGCTCGGCGGGCGGAAGGTCGGAGGGGCAGAGTCACGGAAGAGCGGCGGAAGGCGGAGAGGGAGAGAGAGAGAGGGGGAGAGAGGGAGCAAGCAAAGCAAGCACAAATGGGACGAGTCGAGAGAGTTCAACTCATCGATCCACCGTTCCGACCGCAGGGCCCTCTCCTCCGCATCAGCTGGCGCTTTGCCGGAGAATGCTTCAAAGCTCAGAGCCTCTGAACGAGTGGCACTTCCCGAAAGTACAGAGTCTGTGACACGCCCCTCCCCCCTTCCCCCTCCGCCAGACGTCGTTCGTTTCTCGTCCGCGACTAGCGCTGCTTCGTTTCGAGTCCTTCAGCTCGCGTTATCATCATTCCCCCACACTTCACCCAACCTGCTGTTACAAGACTCAGATCTACCGAGCCGCGGTGTTATTCGCGGCAGGCGCCGGCGAACACACAACTCCAGCGAGCTTCAAAGCCAAACGCGGCGGCAAGTTGCCGCCGATGGCTGACAAGCACCCCCCTGACACCAAGGCCGCCATGGCGGCTTTCATCTATGGCTTCCCTTCACGCCGCGAAGTCCTCCGCTTGCTCCGCCTTCAGACGCTGCACGCGCTCAGCCTCCGCCTCGGGTCGTCACGCCTCGCTCAACAACGGCCGGCGCTGCTGGCGGCGGCGCAGCTGGCAGTTGCGGCTGGCGGCGGTCCGAGTCGTGAAACGGCGGATGGTCCGAATGACTCGTGGGAAGCGTGGGAGCCGGACGATTTGGATATCGACATCGTCATGTCGCTCGACTCGCCGCTGCTGCCGCCGCCGTCTTCGACTTGTACTACTAGTAGTACGTGCACCAAAGTAGTAAGCGGCGACTGGGACAACAGTGACAGTACCCTCAGCAGCCTCGGCAGCAGCAACAGCGCCAGCCATTGCCGCGTCACGATCTGCGACTTGAACACGACTCCGCCTATGCTTCCCCCACTGCCCCCGCCAATGCCTCCGCCAATGCCTCCCCCGATCCCTCCCCCAGTGCCTCCGCCAATGCCTCCGCCAATGCCGCACGCTGCGGCGCCTCCAGTGCAGGGGCCATGCCATCCAGTGGCAGGGGATAGTAATTCCGCCTCTGCCGACTCACGCAGCGACAAGTGCCAACTCCGCCGCTGCGGGAGACGGTGCCTATGCCGCAGAGAAGAGACTGCCTCAGCCGGCGCTGGTGACGTGGGAGACGCAGTGGCAGCTGCCAGGGGGCATGCCACATACGTATGTTCACAGGTGGAATGTGGCTCTCCGCCTGTCAGCTTCTATGGGAGAAGCTCCAGTGGCATTGGCAAAAGCTCACCAGCATTGGCTGGTTCTCCAGGCAAAGGCTGAAGAATCAGCAAGCGGAAGCCTGGCATCTGCCTGGATGTCGAGGCTGCTGCGGATGATACGACCCAGATTAACAGGCTACTCGCTCAAGTGCGTTGCCACTGTGGCGCTGTGGAGTTGGAGAGGAGCAAACGCAATAGCGAGAGAGCTTGTGTCGGGTACAAGAGGGACGTGCCGGAGTGCAAGCATGCCCTCGTGCGGCTTCCGCCTTTCACCAGCACCGCCAAAACCGCCACCACCACAACTGCCGCCACCACAACCGCCACCGCCAAAACCGCCGCCATAAAAACTGCTGCCACCACAACCGCCGCATGGAAAGCCGAGAGCACCACCACGCGCGGCTGCCCTCATAACAGCAGTCCTCTGCAGCAGCCTGACGTTGCCCAGAGGAGCGGGTGGACGAAGATGCTTGTAACGGAGCACAAGCTGCAGCAAAAGAGCACGAGGCAAGGGTGCTCAAGAAACACGCAGAAGAGCACGGTTGCTGCTGGTGATGCTCGCAGTGCTGACTGTGCTGGTGGTGCTGACTGTGCTGGCTGTGCTACAAGTGAGGGGAGAGGGCGTAAGGAGCTTGACAAAGAGCGGCCTTTGGTGGATGCTGGGTCACGGCAGGGCAGTGGCGCACCGGAATGTGGTGGCAGTGGGGGGGAGGAAGTGGTGGGGCACGGTAGTAATGCTGAGATGCCGGTGGTGGGAGAGTTGGAGGCTGCAGCAGGGGCATGCAGGCCGTTGGAGAGGCGTGTGAGAGCAAGAAGGGAGAGTGACATAGGGGGTGAGGTGGAGGGAAGTCAGAGGGAGAGAAGAAGGGGTGGAGGGGTGAAGCTCTTCGGTACAGGATAAGGCTGAATGTGGGAACACATTCTAAGGACTCTTTGTGTGGTGCTGACCAAGTTGCACGGGTTCCTTGAACAATTTATGCTGCATGAAGCGCTTGAAGTGGACTCTTGGCATCAACTTATTGAACCCTAATTTTATGTGGTATATGTTGGCTGGAACGGCAATCATACCGTACGTACTTCAGGAAAATATGTATGAAAATGTATGAGCAAACAAGTAAGTACAGGGGTATTAGAGTTGTGCTACTTACTGAATCCTACTGTAGAGGGGACAAACCCCTTTCTTGTATCTCCTCTTCTAGTCCTAGTCCTCTTTTTTCTCCTTCCTAAGCCTCTCGCCATTCCATGGCTTCCCTAGCTACCTCGTTACCTTGACATGGTAACAGAGCAGGTTCAACCTGCTGGATCTTCTTCCCACGCTTCCGCCGTGCACTCTTCCTCTCTCTCTCTCTCTCGCACTGCCATGGCGGCCGCGGTGTGCTGCTGTGGCGGCGTCGTCGTGCCGCCGGCCGCGTCGTGCTGCCGCGGCGGTCTCGACGCTGCTGCCGTGGCACCCTCGTTGCACTGTCGTGGCGTCGACGTCCAGCCGTGGCGTCGTCGTCGTGCTGTCGCGGCGGTGTCGACGCACCAGCGCACGATCGGCAGCGGCAGCGCGCAGCGCCGGGCCAGCCATGGCGCCGCGCTGACGATCTGCCCCCCACCCCTTCTCCCTTCCCCTCCTCTGCCTTACCCTTCCTCTCCGCCGCAGCTGCTGGCGACCTCGCGCCGTTCCCTCCCTCGTCGTCTCAGGTTGAGCCACGCCGCCGCTGCCTCGGGTGCCGCAGCCGCCGTCGCCAGGTGCCTCGACGCCGCCGCCGCCACCGCAGGTGCTGCACGCCCTGCCGCCGCCGCCGCCGCCGCCGCCGCTGCGACCCGCCGTCGTCGTCGCCACCTCGATCACCGAGGGGTCGACCGGCTGGTCGATGCCACTCCTGCTGCAGGAAATGGGGGTGCTGGGGGTGGGATGGGCTTGCCACTCCCAAGCCTAGGGGGTGTGTTATATTATATATTATATATATATATAACTGTAGGCTTGGTAGTTGTGCTACTCACTGAATCATACTGTATAGGGAACAAACCCACTTCTTGTATCTCCATCTCTTCTAGTCCTAGTCCTCTTTTCTCTCGACATTTTCTCTCCTTCCTAAACCTCTCGCCATTCCATGGCTTCCCTAGCTACCTAGTTACTTTGACAATTAGCTGGGTATAAGCAAAAGTTGGTCTTACTGATGATGTAAGAAAAAACCCTATTCCTTACTGGGCTCGACTACAGCGCGTACGCCCTCAACTCTCGGAAGTCCAGGCTCGGCCAACTTCTTCGGTCCCGAACCACTTTGCGAACCCAAACCTCGACGCGTGGCGCTTCCGTACCTTTCGCCAACCGAACCGCCCCAACCTGTTCGCGTGGTTCTCGGCTAGCCCTGTTCGTGCCTATAAATGCCTAGGCCCTCATTTGTATCGGCGCGCTTGAATCACGGTTCCTTTATAACACTGCCTATTATTACTTAGATTAATTCGTATAACAGCTGGTGTCAGAGCTCCATTCCTGCTCGTCTAATCTTCCGCAGAGTAGTCCGTTTATATCGGGAGAGGACTCGACAGAATAGGGGGTTCGCCAGCGATTGGCAAATGAGCTCGTTAAAGCTCCTCCAACTAGAAGCGTGTGCACCCTCAGACCTGTCAGGTAAAATTTCCAGCATGCCTAACACACAGGAAACCTCTGCCCGTTGTAGTGCTAGGAACACATCGCAGGAGGAATTTGACGAGTTGCAAGCTAGGGTGGCTACAGTGACGACACTGCAGGCCCAGCTTCAACAATTCGCTGCGAAGTTCGAGACGCTAGGAAGCGAAGTGCAAACGCTGCGCGACGAGAACTCGTCACTTCGCCAGGCGTGGGGTGCAATGCGTCAGGGGTGGCCTGTTACACGAGACGAAGATGCTGCGAGCGAAGCAAGGCCGTTGGAGACACCTGAAGCAGTTGAAGAAATCTGCCGCTAGCCGAGGGCGGCCATTAAAATCAAACCACCCATGCCGCCGCCGTTCAACAAGACCGACAAATCAACTACAGTGAGCGGTTGGTTGTTCGCCATCAAAATCTTGTTTACAGCAGCCAGTATTAATGACAATGCTTCACGTGTCAACTTGGCTGTACTGCTGCTGAGAGGACCGGCACTCAACTGGTGGCGCACGCACGTGGACGAGGGAGGAGCCCCGGCAAGGAATCGACGGGTGGTAGATGGGGAGCAAGGTTCATCAACGGCACAGGCAGAATCGATCTTTGGGTCGGCCACGATCCGCCCGTGGAAAGCGTAGGGTGAAGCATTGAAGAACCGCTTCGAGCACATATCCGTGTGCGAAAACGCTCGCACAAGGCTTCGGACGTGGCGTCTGTCCAAGAGTACACGTCATCAATTCTGTCGCTCTGCGATCAAATCAGCAGCCTCAGCGATGACGAAAAAATCGATCGCTCAGTGGGTGGTCTCAAGCCAAAGATTCAGCAAGAGATCGTCCAGCACGCCACGAAGACCTTCAACCAAATCGTTCGTATTGCAGATGTGCTGGACGCGCGACGTGGACTCACGAGGTCAAGTTTCTGGGAGGGAAACCGTTTTCGAGGCCAGCACCAACACACATCAATCAACGGCGTGGATGTATTTGCAGCCCGGTTTTTTTTTTCGGACGTTGTTTCAACTGCAACCAGCCGGGCCACATGGTGAAGGACTACGCGGAGCTGAAGATGAACTTAGATAACGATGAGAAGCAGTCGGGAAATGGAAACAGTCAGTAGCTGATGGGCCGCCTACTGACTTGACTGCGTCACCGAAACACCACCACCCCCACCAGGTTATAGTGCCGATTTGGGCTATCTACCATTCCTGGCTGAATAAGGGGGGTGAACCGGTTGATCACCCTATGCTGGTTGAAGAGAGAGTTGGCGACGCCTGAATCAAAATATTCGTTGATGGTGGGGCAAGCCACAGTGTGATGGATGTGACAAAAGTGAAGAAACTTTGATTGCAGCTGGAGCGCTGCATGCCCGAAATTGACGAGAGGTTGGTTGACGGCACCCCACTGGCGATTTGGGAGCGTGTGCCTCACATGCGAGTCACATGTGGCGAAAACTCTAGTTCTACTACGAAGATGCTGGCGACGACCTTGGACGGGTGCGACATGCTGCTAGGGTGCGATTGGCTATGCGAGTGTAACCCGAGCATCGATTGGCGAACGAGCGACTGTCACGTCAAGTGGAGTGGCGAGTGGCGACGACTTCCCAAGTGGAGCAGTCAAGATTCAGCCACGTCAACATTCAACGCTGTGACTATCAAGCGGGCGATGTTTCGAGGGGCGCATGTGTATGCCGCCCGATGGATCGCATCAATGGCCATTGAGACTCTGACCGACATCGGCAAACTCTCCAGAGCTGTCCCCGATGATTTGGCCAAGATTATTTGGAAGCATGAAGATATTTTTCCGGATGATCTCCCTGTAAGATGGCCAGCTCAGCGCCTGCACGACCACAAAATCGACTCATCATCCTGCAACAAAATCAACTCATCACCAAGGGCTCTAAGTGCGAGTCTTTGAAACACGAACTGAATTTTTTGGGCCACGTAATCTCCATCGACGATGTTAAAATTGACCCCAAGAATATCGTATCAAACAAAGACTGGAAGCTGCTGGCTAATCTCGCGAACTTCAGAGTTTTCTGGGGTGTGAAAATTACGTCCGCTGGTTCATTCCGAACATGGCGGGTGTAATTCCCCTCTGACGGATTTGCTGAAGATTGGCACGTTTTTTTAGTGAGGGGGAGAGCAGCAGGCTGCGTTAGAAAAGCTCAATTTTTTCTTGACTACACCTCCGGTTCTTCGGATCGTAGATCCTTACCGTCCATTTGAGCTCATCACCAATGCTAGCGATCTTACTATTGGGCTGTATTGTTACAACACTTCGACAACGGACTACAACCCATCGTCTACGAGTCACGCCTACAACCCATCGCCTACGAGTCACGAAAGCTAAACCAGGCCGAGCGAAACCATCCTGTCCACGACAAATAGTTACTCGCCATCGTTCATGCTTTCAAGGTTTGGCGCTGACGTCACAGTAGAAACAGACCCCAAGTTGCTACAGTTCATCCGCGCCCAACCGACATTGAATCCCTGACATATTCGCTGGCTCAACTACCTCGAGTCAAACTTCCATTTCACAACCACCTACAAATGAGGGGTACGCAACATCGCTGACGCACTGACCTGCCCCTCGGTCCACACCACCGCCGTACTAATTGCACAATCTAATCCGCTGCTAACTGTCCCCATTCTTCATCACCAACAACCATCCCTAACTAACAGCCAGGCAAGGGGCCTAATATCTAAAATCCGGTACCAATCGGATTTGGGTTCCCGCCTACCGCACCTTAGAGGAGGCACATGACTCGAATTTCTTGGGTCACTACGGCATCGACAAAATCGCCAAATTACCGAGCCATCATTATTACTGGTCGGACCTACCGACGGGCGTGCAGCGGTATGTCACCTTGTGTGCCACGTGTCTACGCATGAAGTAATTCCGACTTCGACCTGCTAGACTGCTGAAGCCGCTTGAGCACCCATTAGACCCTGCCAACAAGTGACAATGGATTTTTTCAATGGCCTACCAGCCGGTCCAAGTGGTAATGACGCGATCCTTGTCGTCCTCGACCGCTTGACGAAAATGACCCATTTTACCGCCTGCAAAATGACAATCACAGCTTAGCAGACAGCGAAGCTGTTTCTCACGAACATCGTGCGGCTACAGGGCATCCCATCGGCAATCATCAGCGATCGCGATCCACGCTTTACATCCAACTTCTGGACAAAAACATGGCAGTAGTACGAGACGCGTCTGCATTTCTCCACGGCCTACCACCCGCAATCGGACTGAACGCACCAATCAGACGATGGAGCAGCTGATTTGCATGACATGCATAGACCCGGCCCAATGGGAGGATGCCCTCCTCTTGATCGAGTTTGCGTAACGCCCCATCAGCCACGACCACTCAGTCACCATTCTTTCTTATTTATGGGATAGATCCGACGACCCCTCTATCGACACCGATAGAAAACCCGGCACCCAGATCTCAGCATTTCGTAAAAAATATCCGACAGTCTCAACAAAAAGCCGTCGATGCTATCCTAAAAGCCATTCAGATGGCTAAGCAGCAAGCTGGTTGATGACGCCGAG